TCTCCTGCAACTTCTTCAAAATGCTCAACATTACTTGGGCTTACTTGAGAGTCTAGTATAGTTTTAGGGCTAGTATCTGAGCACTATCCACTCCATATGCCGTGTTCCTGCTCCCTAACAGTGAATAACCCCTAGATTGATGAGATATTTGAAAGGAACTACAGGTCTGGCCCTATTCTACACTGGATATCCGGGCATAATCGAAGGCTATTCAGATGCGATCTGGTGCTCAGAACCAGATGAATGCAGGTGTATTGGAGGTTTTGTCTTCACCATGGGTGGAGCTGCCGTCTCGTGGAAATCTAAGAAGCAGACCATGATTGCACAGTCATCGATGGAATCTGAATTCGTTGCACTCTGTGCTGCAGGAGATGAAGTTGAGTGGCTCAGTTGTTTTCTTCAAGACATTCCATTGACAGAATTACAATGCGTAATTACTATCTATTGTGATAATCAGACAGCGAGTGCTGTGGCAGCAAACTCGATGTTCAATGAAAAGAAGCGGACCATTCGTCTGAAGCATGGCTATTTGAGAGAGCTCATTTGTCAAGGAGTCATCTCTGTGATTGACGTCCGACCTTCAGAAAATGTGGCTGATCCTTTGACTAAAGGTCTGAAAAAAGGACATAGTCAAAGGACGTCTACTGGAATGAGTCTCAAAGTTTTGTAAGTCTTACAAATACTTACCATGTTTATTAAGTTATTAGTTCAAAGATTATGCTACTAATAATAAGATAATTGGTTCAAAAGTCAAGTAAGATTTGTAAAAGTTGGTAGTCTTATAAATACTTACCATTTACATCAAGTTATTAGTTCAAATCTTATGTTACTAATGATAAGATAAATGGTTCAAAAGTCAAGTAAGATTTACAAGTGAAGGGGTTCAAACTTTCTTGGATTAGTCAGTGTCTAAGACAAGGTTTAGGGGTTGTGTAACGTGCTCCACAAGGAACGATGTACTTAATTGATCTTTGATCTCTCTTGTACTATCCTTATCTGGTTGAACTACCCGGATACAACTTTGATCTATTCACCAATAATCCTATCATGTAAAGGGGTTGGTTGTTAATCCTTAATGAGTCCAAAGCATTTCAGATGCAGGGTGTTAGATAGGAAACACAACTAAAAGACTCACCTAGATTCCTATCATGAGAGAGGATGTCTCTTAAACCGTAATGAGTTTAAAGCATTTCGGATGCGGGATGTTTGATAGGAAACATACCTAAAGAACTCATCTATGCATGAGTGAAGATTTGATCATCTCCTATGGTGTCTTTTGGAAAGGTACCTAGAGCCCTAGCAGAAACCAGGACATGCACATGGCCATAAATATGCAAAGGCAAAGGCAAGATAAAAGCAAAGACAAAGACAAGTGTGGTTCAAAGTGAAAACTTCCACAAATGAGTTTTGTCATGTGTGATTGCTGGATTTTAGACATGTGTTGGTTCAAGTCTCTGCGATACCATGCATCTATCTTTTATTCAGTTGGTCTAAGAGGGATTCAAATCCTTGCGACATCTACCTTATGCACAACGATTAAAATAACGGTACCGTTACACGATAGTAGTTTAAAATTTGTGGGGGATTGTTAGATAACTTTTAAATGAGTGGGCCCCATTTTCTTTGACAAAACTTTCAATGAACAGTAAAAATGTGATAAACAAAATTTTCAAAGGACAGTTCCAAAATTTTGAAAATGTAAAGGACGTGCACCCTACATGAATAGTAAATAATATTATTTTATTAGTACATAGTGTTTTTCCAAACGCTATAAATAGACCCTAAATCCTTAAGGAAAATTCATTCAAAAAACAACAATCAATATATATATATATATATATATATATATATATATATATATATATATATATATTGTAGAATAACTAGTGCTCGTAGAAACAGTGCCTAGACCGAGAAGGTCTTATAGATCGAGGAGATCTTTGTCTTATAGATCGAGGAGATATTGACAGTACTGGGTCGGTGCATACCAGAGTACTAGACTGTTGTTCTTGGAAGCAATTTGGCCTTGGGATCCTTGCATCAGAGTAGGGCAAATAATGCTTTAAGCACAGCGTTTTACAAACGCACAGCAGCGGAGTTGGAAAATTTAAAATTACTGCACTTCAATTTTCTGTTCAGTTTTTACGGTTATATATCTGTATTATTCCAGATTTAACCACAGACGCCAACAACTACTCTACACAGATCAAAACACCCATCAATTGATATCTTATTGCCATTATCAAATACCTTCTTGTCCACCTCCTGACATGATCCCTATTTAGACAACATTTTAGCCAAGAACTTGATAACCTCCTCTTGTATATCCCTTCTTTCAGTTACCTAACCCCTTCATTGTTATGAATACATTGAATGGCAATAATTTCGTTGCTCCGTGTCCTTCGCCTTATAGATTTATTATCTCAGAATATAGCATTCTTTTATGTTTTTAAATGCATAGAGCCTCAAATTCATGCAGTTCACTATTATTTAGTGGAGATTAAAGAAGTTTCCGAATACTTTCAACATCGTCTCTTGCATTGTTAACTCTACTCCTCAAACCATCATATTTCCCTTTGTGAAATATCTTGAGAGCATATTTCACCTGCTTGAGTTTCCTTGTAAAGACATGCATAGGAGATCCAACAAATTTAACCTTCCGTGCGTCGTACGCAAAATTTAAAGGAACTTCTCGTCATTATTACATTTTGAAATTTTGGAACTGAGGAGGAATGGTCTGAAATATCAGGATTTAGGAAGTCAAGAAAAGATTCTTCAAACAACGCCAACCACTCGTGGTTAATCAATACTCTTTCCAGCTTAACATAATTTCTACTCCCAACTTGTGATTTGTCACTCCACTTATATTTACGACCAATATATATGTTGCAAATCATGCACATAATCCTATCATGAAAGTCGAATATTACCATCAAACTCATGCATGTAATCCTGAATGCATTACTGCTTTAGCATCAATGACTTCACTCAAGCAAAGACTTATAACTGCCAATTTCAGTAACATCCAACAGAAAAGACATGCAGAATTTTTTTTTCTCAGAAAACAGACATGCATGCTTATGGTTAAGAAAGAGCTTTGGATGACCATTAATAGAAAATGTCCTTGCTGATACTATCAGAAATTTTCTTTCTGATAGTATCGACACTTCCCTTTTCCTTGATGTCCTTGCTGATGCATCCTTTTAAGATTATAATGTATCATAAGGTTGCTTCTGATGTTAACCGCTAAAACCATCAATAGAAAATGTATAATCAACCTATCAACTCCCTGAGGACATGCATAGCAATTTCTCAGAATGGTGTCAATTTATTTGAGGTTGATGAGGTCTTATATTATTTGACTCAGTTCTACATGATAACATTGTCAGATTAGGAGTTCATGATACTCCTTGATTTCTGCTGAAACAATATGACTGGTACGTCTTCCGTTTTTTCTCCCCCAACTAGTCCTCATTCTGTTCTTAAAAGCATAACCCTAGTTAATTAATTTGCAAAAGATGTCATGATCGAATTCATTGGATACTATTGCTGATTGCATCGATTATGAGGTGCAAAAGTGTCCCTCGGAGAGTAACCAAATTCAGTTACTCCTATAGTCCAACAACATTCCTGAAATTTTGTCGTAACTATAAGCTTTCTGATAACCAGAACAATACAAAATACGAAATTAGCATATGACACGGTTATATCAATGAGAACTACTGTTAGACTTAACGAACACTGATTGATACAGTGAAAAGGACATGGTTCTTGTTACTAATAGAGATAAGAATAGTGTCGTAAAGAAAGAGGATTCATGCCGACAATCTAAAGATTGTTATAAAGTTTTTAGTATAGAAGTTGTTATTGAAGGGGGAAAAAACAAATATGCAGATGTCAATTAACAGTATCCGAGGCACCATTAGACCCAGTCAATTACTCATCTTTAATCATCTATTTCATATAAAGAGGATTCACGTAGACAATCTAATGATTGTTATACAGTTTTGGGTGAAAGATGTTATGAAGAGAGGATGATAACTGTCTTACATAGAAGAATAAAAATAGACGCTATTGATCAAAGAACAAACAGTAGCAAGTTCTTGGAATCGGATCGATCTTTTGAGATTGACAGAGTATTCTATTTGTTGATTCCCACTCCAATTTTGACTCACTCGTAAATTATTATATCCTTAGCTACTGTTTCTTGTAGAAAGGTGTTATGAACATAAATTAATGGAACCATAACCTGAATGCATTATGAGTTTTAGTATCAAAGAATCGAATTCGCTCATGCAAAAAATACTGTTAATTGACAATCTGAACATTGTTATAAAGTTCTGAGTGAAAGTTGTTATTAGAGGTAAAACCTATGTGCAGATGCCAATTAACAGTATCCGAGGCACTATTAGACCCAGTCAACTACTCATCATTAATAATCTATTTAGGATAAAGAGGATTCACGTAGACAGTCTAAAGATTGTTATACTGTTTTGGGCAAAAGATGCTATGAAGAGATGATGATAACTGCCTCATATAGAAGAATAAGAATACCATATGTGAATATGTAAACACATCCTTGTAGTTATTTATTGTTACTCATCAATAAACGCCATATCTCAATACTTTATCAACTATATACAGCCCAACATGATTTTTTGTCTATTCCTTTCTTGGAATTAGCTTAGACTAGAGCATAAAAGAATCCTGAGCAAGAAGCACGCATAACTTACAACACCTTGAAGTTAATTCTAACTATATAATACACGTGCATTGTGCTACAGCCGGCAGTCCATTATGGATATTCATTCATACCAGCTCTGCACCCTTGATGTCTTCATCCCCCATGAAAGCCTATTTATACCCCTCACATCCTTCAACGTAACTCATCATCGAGTAAATCATCCATCATTAGCTCTTCAAACTGAGACATGGCTTTCAATTTATCTCTAGTTCTAGCAATAATTTCCGCAACAATTTTGATCTCTTCAAACTGAGACATGGCTTTCAATTTATCTCTAGTTCTAGCAATAATTTCCGCAACAATTTTGATCGCGAATGCTGCAGATCCAGACATTTTATCTGATTTCATAGTCCCCAATGGAGTCACCCCAGATGCCAACTTCTTCACCTTCAAAGGTCTGAAACAATCTCTCTGGGGTTCCCCCAATAATGCAACCTTTAAAGTAACGAAAGCTAGCCAAATTGAATTCCCGGCTTTAACAGGCCTAAGTGTGTCCTATGCTTCACTTCAATTTGCCTGTGATGGCATAAACCCCCCTCATACTCACCCTCGCTCTGCTGAGCTCTTGCTCGTCATCCAAGGACAGCTTGAGGTTGGTTTAGTCGACTCTAGCAACAAGCTTTTTGTTCAAGTTCTTGAGACCGGTGACATGTTTGTGTTTCCAAAGGGTTTAGTGCACTTCCAGGTGAACAAAGGCAAGTATCCTGCTGTCGCTCTATCGGCATTTGGAAGTGCTAATGCCGGTACTGTTTCTGTGAACAAAGGCAAGTATCCTGCTGTCGCTCTATCGGCATTTGGAAGTGCTAATGCCGGTACTGTTTCTCTTCCCAATACATTGTTTGGAAGTGGGATCGACAGTGAGGTGCTGGCTAAGTCATTCAAGACTGATGTTCAAACCATTGGGAAGATTGTTTCGGGTGTTACCTCAAATTGAGATGGTTCTGAGGTCTGTGGAGTTATTTGTTTGTGTCAGTTATGTTTGTTGTGTGTTTGATTGATTGCATCGGTGTCGCACAGTTTGTTTAATGTTTCTCATTGTTTGTTCTTTGCTAATCTTGTTTAAGATTATAATGTATCATAAGGTTGCTTCTGATGTTAACCGCTAAAACCATCAATAGGAAATGTATAATCAACCTATCAACTCCCTGAGGACATGCATAGCAATTTCTCAGAATGGTGTCAACTTATTTGAGGTTGATGGGGTCTTATATTAATTGACTCAGTTCTACATGATAACATTGTCAGATTAGGAGTTCATGATACTCCTTGATTTCTGCTGAAACAACATGACTGGTACGTTTTCCGTTTTTTCTCCCCCAACTAGTCCTCATTCTGTTCTTAAAAACATGACCCTAGTTAATTAATTTGCAAAAGATGTCATGATCGAATTCATTGGATTGTATTGCTGATTGCATCAATTATGAGGTGCAAAAGTGTCCCTTGGAGAGTAACCAAATTCAGTTACTCCTATAGTCCAACAACATTCCTGAAATTTTGTTGTCGAAAAAAACCGGGCCGGGCTTTCTGACCGTTTATGCCGTGCCGGCCAAAACGGTCAAAAAACTGACCGTTTTGACCGGGTCGGACCGGCCAAACGGTCATATTTGGCCATTTGACCGATTTTCTCCTTAAAAGTCAGGGGTGGCAAACGGGTCGACCCGGCCCATATAAAATTTAACCCGACCCGTATAAGTGTGATCTGACCCAACCCGTTTAATAAATGGGTCAATGTGATCCGACCCTATTATTAAACGGGTTACCCGACCCGACCCATATAACCCGAATAACCCGTTTATCTAATACAAGACATATCCTAACACAGTAACACATATAACTAATAAAAAAATTTATACAAGCACAAAAGAACACATCTTGTAAGCTCTTTAGACAAAAACTAGCATTACTCACAACATGAAGTTATTTCAAAGACATATTCAGTATTTAAATGTACTTCAACGAATTAAAGAGAAAGTGTGTGTGTGTGAGAGAGAGAGAGAGAGAGCAACCTTTTGGAATTAAAGGCAAGAATAACTTGACATTTTGCTTTCATCTCAAAATTAAAATATCCAAGGATATATTGCAGATAACTCCCCCAGTCTTCAACTAATTAGCACTGAACGTGTTGGTAGTTTAGAAGAATAAATTGCAAATAGCCACCCAAAAATCATTAACAAAACCAAAATTCAACTAAAGAAAAATCGTCGAAACCTGAGCGGGGAATCTGAGGGCCATGGAGAACAAGCTGTCCTTGCTGACTCCGGCGGCGTAGAAAGCGGCGGTGTTGGCAGGATTGAAGCTGGCCTTGCCGAGGAGCTTGGAGATTTGGCTGAAGATCAAAAGCAGGGCGGTGATCAAGAGAACGGTGATCCGAGGGAGGCTCTTGAGCTCCAAGTGCCTGGTGATAACCGCCGTCATGGGGCCCACTGTGGAGATGCAGAACATCCATAGGAATGTTATCACGCCGTCGCCGATCGCAGCCTTGAGCGCCTCCATCGGGGCGATGGGGGTGTTGAAGGAATTGGTTGGGCATAAGAACCGGACAAATTTTCAAAACCAACCTATTTGGACTTTTATTCCCCAAAAACGACCCCATTCAAAAATAATTGCAAAAACCGACCTGGTTTCTAAAACTGAATGGGGTCGTTTTTTGGGAATAAAAATCCAAATAGGTTGGTTTTGAAAATTTGTCCCATAAGAACCACGGTGGGATTTTGAAGGGCCATGGCTTTTCTTTCTCCCTGCGGCTTTTTTTTTTCCTTTCTCTAGAGCGGCGCGCTTATGAGGGGCTGTTTGGTTGTTGTTGGTAAAGTTGTGTATTTATGACGCAACTTGGAAAGTTGTTGTCAACCTCATCAATTTCACTTTTATATTTTTCTTTGTTTATTTTTTATTCCATTGGAATCATAAATTGCTTGTTTGGTTTGCAAATATAACTTTAATTGTTTGTTTGGAAAGTGTAAAAAGTGGTCCCTACTCAAAAGATCATATTGGTTGAAATTATTTTTTATTATTTTTTTCTGATTTCAATGTCAGCTTTCTCCTAAAATCATGTCTTTTTTTTATGAAATCACTTTACAAGACATATCAGCATATGAAATCACTTTACACTATTTTCACAACTACAAACAAACAATTGAAAGTGATGAAAGCTGACATTGGGACCCACTTTTTTACACTTTCCATCCTTTTACATGGTAAAAACATTTGGGACCCACTTTTTTACACTTTCCATCCTTTTACATGGTAAAAACATACAACCAAACAGCCCCTGAGGGAGTGAGGGAATGAAGGGTTTACACGGGTCAGGATTTTTGTTATACGGGTCAATAGATCAACCCGAATTGACTTATTTAATAAATGGGTAAATTTGGGTTGACCCGTTTATGATCCGACCCATATAATTTGACCCGTACTCATTATAAATGGGTCGGGTCGGGTCGGGTTAATGGGTCGGGTTATAAATTGTCACCCCTACTTAAAACGGTCAAAAAACGACTAGAATATGAGGGTTTTTTGGTCATTTGCCTAGGGGCTGCCTCTATAAATAGAGGGGTTTCACTTCATTTACTCAGAACAAAACTAATCTACTTCTCTCTAATACTCTCTTATACAATCTTATACTCTCTTATACTATCTTATAATCTCTTATATTTTCTAATACTTCCATCAAATGGCTTCTAGATCTGATTATGAAGAGCAAAATCTATCTCCTACCGATCCAGAGATGAGTCCTCCTACAACAACTCCTCCTCCTACGGTGTTATTCCTGAATCTGGTGGCGACGAATCTACTGCACCAAGAGCTCCTAAAAAGCCGAGATCCGATGTGTGGAAGTTTTTTGAGAAGATAGACGTCACCAAGGATGAACACGATAGGATCATCTCCCATAAGGTAAAATGTGCGTTGTGCGGCCAGGTTTTTCAAGCTCATCATTAGAGCGGCACCAACCATCTCAAACGCCATATAGAAAAACACAACAAATGCCAGAATCTTCAAGGTGATATCTGACAGTGTATGATTTCCCATTCCTCCTCTTCTGGTACCCTCGGTAGTTGGAATTATGACGCTGCCCGAGCTAGGAAATACGTAATCATGTTTATTGTTCTTAAAAACATGCCTTTAAAATTAGTAGAAAATGATGAATTTGAAGATTTGTTTAGATATGGTTTTTATCCCGTATTTACAAAATTTTATCGTCAAACCTGTCAACGTGATATTTTAAAATATTATCAGGAGGAACAAGGAAAAATAATTTCTTATTTTAAAAATTTAAACTGTAAATTTTCTTTAACTTTTGATATTTGGACATCTAGAGTGCAAATTGGTTATTTATGTATCACAACACACTAGATTGATAAAAATTGGCAAATGTTTAAAAGAGTTATTTCTTTTATTGCAATTGAAGAGTCACACACTAGTATTAATATTGCAAATTTAATAATTGAAGAACTTATGAAACTAGAAATTGATCAAAGAATATTTTCTCTTTCACTAGATAATACAAGTAATAACAATGTAGCTGTTGATTTTATTAAAACAACTCTGTCATTGCCATGTCATGGTGACCTTTTTCATGTTAGATGTATTTGCCATATTTTAAATTTAATTATTCAAAGTGTATTTTCTGAAATTAAACCCATGATAGAAAATGTTAGAACAGTTGCTAATATGTATAATGCTTCTGAAATGAGAATTAAAAGATGGAAACAATGTTGTAAAAAAAATTATAAGCCTAGACTAATTCCAAAAGATGTTGATCATAGGTGAAATTCCACATATGCAATGTTAAGTATAGCAATAGAATATAAAGAAATTATAAATGATTTTATAAATTTTTATACTTCTAGTTCTAGCTCTGGTAGCACTTATGGAATAAGTGAAGATAAATGGACAATTATATATAAATTAAATGAGATATTATAAGTTTTTTATGATGCCACTATGTTATTATCTGGTTGTTATTATCCAACTATTACTTTAGCTGCTTTACAAATTTTAAATATTCAAAAAAATTTGGCCAAAGATCGTATGGATGATATTTTTGGAAATGTAATTTTTCAAATGGAGAGCAAATTTAATAAGTATTTTAGGCTTATTCCTCATATTTTTTGTTTGGGGTTCTTATTGATCCATGTTTGAAGGATATTGGTCTTCGAAGTTTGTTACAGTCATTGTATGGTGGACAGATTATAGACTTAGATGATGGTTCCACCATTACTGCTACTTCTCATCATTTATCTATTAGAAATTATTTTCAAACATTATATGATGAGTATGCAGCTAGACATAGTGTAGCTGCACAACAGTCAACAGCTTCAGCGCCTTCGGTTTCGAGCACAGGTCGAGGTAAAAGTATAAGTTTTGATAGGTATGCAATGATAACTTAACTAACTGGTGGATCTAGAATTGATTCAGGATTAGAGGTTTCTGAATTAGATGAATATTTTTCTGCTTTCTTAGTTAAATGTCAAGGAAAAACTTTAGATATTTTGCAATGGTGAAGAGTATATGGATCAGTTTCATATCCTATACTTTCTACCATGGTTCGTGACTTACTATCAGTGCAGGTTTTGACGATAGCTTCGGAATCCGCCTTCAGCATAGCAGGACGTTTGATCGACGACCACGGGACATGCTTAGATCTGTATACTGTACAAGCGATGATATGCTTACAAGATTGGTGGAGGTACGAGAAGCGAACACAATGCATCGATCGGATTGCTATAATTGAAGATAAATTTAAAGAGTTGTGACTAGCAGATAGAAATAAAGATTAGATAATATTCATCAAATTGTAATTTTTATTTCTTAGCTTTAAATTTGTAATGAATTGTTTCGGAAAAAGTTACAAATGATAGTGATATGGGTGAGTAGGTGCCAACCTAGTTGGGATTTACTCATCGATAGTGATATGGGTGAGTAGGTGCCAACCTAGTTGGGATTTACTCATCTATTGTGATGCGACGAATTTCGAAATAAATTTAGCCAACCTAGTTGGGATTTACTCATCTATTGTGATGCGACGAATTTCGAAATAAATTTATACTTGTAAAGAATTTACTGATTATTAATAAAAAAATTTATCTTTATCATCTTTTATTTTTATAATTTTTTGTACTTGTACTTTATGGCATTTCAAGTTATTAAAAAAATTTATGTCATTTTCTGTACTTTTTATGTATATTTTATAATTTATTATTTTTTTAAAAATTTAAAAAGTTAAAAAAAAAATAAAAAAAACGGTCCGGCCCAGAGCCAGAACCGCTCAGGTGCGGGTCTGGTTTTGCCCGGCCCGGACCCGGTTTTCCTTCCGGACCGGACCGACCCGGATGGACACCCCTGTTCGTCCCTATATATATAAAATCATCGCGTGCTTAAGGCTTCTAACTCGATTATATTAAAAGAATTCTCTGCTCATGTACGTAATTTCGTTATACTAAAAAAAAGCAGCTCGTGCTCCACGAGCAACGAGAAAATAGATAAAACTTGTCCTCTCCATCTATGGTCGTAGACTCGTAGTCCATATATATAAGCGAAGGATGCAGGACTTGGCCTGAATGAGAAGACGACCGCAAGGCCATGCCAGAGCTAAGGTAGCAGGCCCTCTCTCTCTCTCTATAATTTAATTTAATTTAATTTAATTTAATTTTTGTTCCCTCTGGTTTCGATCGTAATTTGCATGCATCTATTGTTTTTTTTTTGTTTCTTCCTGTCTCACATTTTGAGGTAAAGGTGGTGATCATCACCGGAAGCAGCCAGCGGCATCGGCGAGGCGCGCGCGAGGCTGTTCGCCGCCAACGGCGCCACCGTCAGTCATCGCCGACTATCCAAGACCAGCTCGGCTCGAAATCGCCTCCTCAATCGGTCACGACAAGTGCACCTACCGTCACAAGCGACGCGTACGGACGGGAGCAGGTGGCGGACACCGTGGGCTACGCGTGGCGATCTACGGACCGCCCTGCGACGTGATGTACAGCAACGCCGACCGTGTCCGGCTGCGTTCACCCCCATCGCCGACCTCGAACCCGCGCTGAGCTGCAACCGGTCGTGGCGGGTCCGAACATATCGAAGTCTCGATTCAGTGGGCGCGGTGGACCGGGCGACTAAAGACGGGCGCGGGCGATGGTCGCCGGCGGGGTCCGCGGCGTCCATCGTGTGCCGGCCAGCGTGTCGGCCAGCGGGAGAAGTGCGGCGCGAGAGAACGCGCATTACACCGCCTTCTAAGCGACGCGGTGCTGGGCCTGCCGACTGTCCGGGCCGCGTGGCACCAGGGGGGTACACGTACGAAGGGTAACCTCCGACGGGATCATGAGATTGGTTGCAAGTGTGTGAACTGAGTGTGTCGACCTTACGGCGGGCTGGCCGACGCCGTTCGCTGGATCTGTGCAGGGGTGGGATGAGCCCGTCTGATACACTGCTCCGAGAAGGAAGAGCGCTCTGCTCCCATGCGAAGACACAACATCGCATGGGGTATTTGTTGCGTTGCCAGCGAGCCATCTTGTGCCCGGAGGTCGGGCCACATGTTTTCTGGTCGAAGCCGGAATCGTCGCGATTCATGGTCGGACAGCGATTCATGACAGGGGCGGCGCGCCAACGACCTCTGTTCGTCGGACTCGGCACCGGCAGACACCGCTTTATTCTCTAAACAAAGCCTTTGTATGCGACGTTGACTCATGGATAATTACTACGCAGCGGTATCGTTAGGTTTGTTTTGCTTTAATTTGTAGCGAAGAATTTGAATCAGAATCTATCGTACGTGTTGGAGATCCTTCCATGTTTTCTTTACTAGCTAGTCTGTTTCTTTGGTTTTCATTAGTTTTATTTTACTTTTGAGAAGAAAAGGGCAGGTTCCAGCTCACACCCAAAATAAAAGAAATTAGAGAACAATTTTGATAGTTTATTAATGGCTAAATATTCATATTGGTATTTTAATTCCACCCCGTTTACAAAGAATGTATTTTAATTAGGCAAACCTGCTTTAAGGCATTTTAATTGATTCAACTTACCAACAAGGCCCTTTTTCTCATCGGCGACCAGTTTTTCGACGAGAGCTCGTCACGTGCGTGGCACGTGATGACTTAAACTGTTTTTTAGCTACTGATGTGGCACGGATTTTCTAACGTGGCAGTGTTTAAAGACGGGAATTAACCCTCTAAAAATCCCAATTCACCCAAAATAGGACAGATCCGTGCCACATCAGCAGCTAAAAAACAGTTTAAGTCATCACGTGCCACTCACGTGACGAGCTCTCGCCGGAAAACTGGTCGCCGACGAGAAAAATGACCTTGTTGTTAAGTTGAATCAATTAAAATGCCTTAAAGCAGATTTGCCTAATTAAAATACATTCTTGATAAAGGGAGTGAAATTAAAATACCAATATGGGTATTTAGCCGTTTATTAATCTCCAACAGTATTTTTTTCCCTCCCGTAACACGAGCGCTCAGGAAAAACTCTCACTTTCACCCCAGCCGCAAAGTCGACCGCATCTCGTCCTATTTTTGAGCAGTTACAGTTGTTGATTTGAGGTAGGAAACTTCATTTAATTTGTTATTTTATAGTTTTTTTGGGTTGCTAGATCTCTTACAATTTGGTTTGGTCATTTTTAGGGGTTTTTGTTGTTGGGTTGCTAGATCTCTTATAATTTGGTTTGGTCAAAAGTTTTAATCTTTTTATGTTTCAGAGAAGAGACATATTATTGGAATTAGGTAATAAGAACTAAAGGTCGTCGAGTTCTAAGTTCTAATTGCTTCCCTTTTCATTAGTTTGCTAGATCTCTTCTAATTTGGTCGATTTACGGATTTTGGTGTTGGGATTTCAATTGTAGGGTTTTATTGTCATTAAATAAAAATGCAAAAAAAAAAAAACACCCCATTTTGATCCACTAATAGGCACAAAAATGTGATCCGCTAATAGACTAAAAAATAATAATCTAAAAGGTACGAAATCCAAATTTTGATTCAACTGGGCATTTTGATCTAAATATGATATTTAGGGTTGTACATGGTTCGGTCCAAACCAAAAAACCGATCGAAAATTAGCGATTCGGGTTGGTTTTATTTGTAAATCAGTTTGGATCGGGTTGAAAACTTTTTACCCTAAACCGTCCGAACCGACCGCATCACTTAACACTATAATTTTGGCCCATACCATACCCGACCCGTTCACTAAGTAAAATCCCTCAAATTGAGATACCTAATCCTAATCCCTATCTCCCAAGTCTCCAACTCTCCAAGCCCGCAGCCCCCAGCCCAATTCCACAAATCTGGCCCAGCTGCAGCTGCAGCACTTCATCACTTCTTCAAATCCGCAGGCAGCACTCCGCAGTCCGCACTCTCTCACTCTGATCTCGGTCCCGATCGTGATCGCGGCCCCGGTCTCGATCTCGGTCTCGATTGCTGCGGTCCAAATCACGGTCGCTTTTTTCTAGCTCAAGTTCTTCGGCGTCGAAGGTCCGTTCTCAACTAGACTCTAATAAATTGTCTTATTTTATACTACCTCTTTAAAGCAACTTACTTGGAGGAAATGGTTAGGTGTCATTTTCATCATTTGTCATTGATGTTAATTGCTCTATCACTCATGTTTCTTTATAATAATATTTAGTAAAAGGTTTGGCTTACGTGAGTAGTGCCCCATTTGTCTGCAAAGAAACTTCACCGTATTGTAAAGGTGGTTCAGAATCCTTGTATTCATAAACGTATAAAGTAATGCTGATGAAGTTTTATTATGGTGTTCACTCACCCAAGATACGGGCTTTTGCAAAATGATACAATAAGAGTCCTAGCAAAATAACCTCAAACCCACTTGAGTGGGCCAAGCCCAACAGAGGCCTCGACCCCGCCGACTCATCAAGTCGACCTTTTTTCATGCCGATACGAAAGGCGGGATCAGTCGACCCTATCGCCGAGGACGACCCACTTAGGGCACTCGACCACTCACTGGGTAATTCTCGGAGACGACTTGAGGGACATTCCCTGCTGTTGACTAAGTTAAGGACTCGACCCAGGCCTTAAGCCTCTCCTCCAGAGCATATGTCAACATTTCAGTCCATACCGGACAAACCTTATTCAGATTTTATCCTAATGATCTCTGTGACTTGCCAGCTGCCCATATGCCTCCATGACTTGTCAATCACTTTCCGAAAAATACGGAGACACCCTCTCACGTGTAGAAGTGACTTTCCTTTCAGTCGCCAGTCGACGCCTGTAAACCGAGAGACGATTCAGTATGCCCACGTGTTTTCTGCCACACCATCAATCACATACCGGACAAACCTTATTCAGATTTTAGCCTAACGACCCTTGTCCTACCTGCAAAGGCAAGGGGTGGAAAAAAATAGTATTTGGTAAAGGGGAGTCATTCCCGCCCTCCAATCTCTTCTTGGAAATTAATGCCGATGATGAAGGACTTGGACAACATTTCTTCAGATACAGCTTACAAGCACGTGACTATATAAAGAAGTAAGGATACAACCTCACGTTCGGTGAAGGTCTTCGTTTTGGTCAAGGTATCCGAGTTCCACCCCGTCCTGCCTATGTACCAAGAGGGAAGCCCGACAATTATTATGAACATAAGAGTGGCCTAGGCTATGTCACTTCATCCAACGACGAATCTTGTTGGCAAGTTATCAACCAGTCATCCAATCTTATGGTTCGCCATGAAAGTCCCGGCCCCACACTCCCCATTTGGGCATTCCTTCCTCAACCTAATAACCTTTCCACCATCATCTACCTTATAAAACTGCAGAACAGCGAGCTTCACCTGTAGCAAATTCATCAACATCTTCCTTTGAGTCATGAATTCCCGAGAAATCTACAAGCATCGTCTATTTGATATCTCAGAAAAGTTCATACGTCGGCTTTTGCTATTAGGCCTTTTACTCTTTTTTTTTAAAGTTTGTTGTCGTTTTATTAGAGTTGTTGGGGAAATTTCAATATAGGAAGAATCAGGCTCGCAAAAATATAATAATAATAATTATAATTATAAGGAAATTTTAAACTTTTATTTTTTATTTTAAATAATCAAAGGAAAATATTGACTCCTAAGTACAGTGGAGCTTCTAATACTTACAGGTTTGTCGATTTGAAATGTGATTTCTTGTCGGACTTCTTACATTTATATCGTGTTGGGTCTTCTGTCTTTTCGTATGCGAGTTAAATAAATCAATAGAAAAATAAAAAAAGGCAATTTCAAGTAGCGAAATGAGAATTTTGTAGAAAGCCATATTACGCCGTATTTGATAGTCTATCAAGTTCCCACCTTTATTTTTAGGAGTATCTTTCTTGTATGGGGTTTCGGCCTTATGTCCCTCCTTGTATCTTTTCCTTTCCGTATATAAATAAATAATCAGGTCTGCCCACGACGTGCAGGAAGTTCGGCCAATAAAAAATGCAGGTTGAAAGATTAAGAAGGTTAAAACTTGACAATAATTTTTTTTTATTGAGATTGCAAATTTTTCTCATCTAACTCAACCATCCACCCCTTATATTGAACTGGTCATGAGAACCTTCAAGTAGTGTGGAAAGATGCAACCAATCCATAACAAAAACACCATAAATTAAGTTCTCAGAAATTTCTCTTGTCAATATAATACTTGCATGGGTGAGATTAATCAAAACTTTGAGCTAAATTTGTCAACAAAAACCCACCAATAATCACTAAGATGGAGTGTAATTGGCACATTGTTGCATGGAGCCAGCTTCTGAAATTACTCTAAATACGTCCAATGATTTTAGTTACTATGAGCTAGAACCAGTCAATATAACATTTTTGCACGCATATTGGTGTGCTTATTATAAGCATCCACTTGCTCTCTTCCTCCTTATATGTACTCTCATAATGAATATGACTTCTCACTCAAACACATTCATCTTCAAGCTATGGGCAAAGGAGCTACACATTCATTTATGCTCATTTTTATTGCCATTTTTGCTGCATTTCTAGCTGAAAAATCATCTTCATCCTTGGAAGCGGACTTCTATAAATCTACATGCCCGCTTGCTGAGAAAATTGTTCGAAAAATAATTACTAAGGCTATTGTCAAGGATCATGGCTTAGCTGCTAGTCTCATAAGGATGCACTTCCATGATTGCTTTGTTAGGGTAATCTTCATAAAATTTTTGTTGCACAATTACCTGCACGAGTAGTAAGTGTCTGATACATGCCAAAATTTCCTTTTTTTTAAGTGAGTTTTCAAAATTGTTCTATGCGCTACTGAAATGCAAATTTTTTGAACGTCTTTTGGTATGAGACACTTAACGTCTTCTAATTGCTTATTTCTTTGTGCTTTTGGTTGCAAGTCATTTCCCTATTTAGAATCATACAAATTCTCACAAAACTAAGCCCCAAATCCTTACATTGTATATTGTATACGTGTGTCTTGAATCCAAAATATGTGCAAAATTACCTGCAGAAGTGATGGATGTGTGATGCATACCAAAAGTTTCAGATTATCATAAGTTTTTAAAATTGACAGGCATAAGGTACTTCGTTTGCGAGACTAACTAGCAAACTGATACTGAAATGCACTGCACTCGCAGGGTTGTGATGCTTCCATCCTTCTTGATTCAATCCCCGGAAGCAAATCAGAAAAGCTCAGCATCGCCAACAATCCAAGCCTGCAAGGCTACGAAGTCATCGACAGAGCCAAGGCTGCAGTCGAAGCTCAATGCCCACAAACAGTCTCATGTGCAGACATAATCGCATTTGCAGCTCGCGACAGCACGACCCTCACAGGTACATAGGACTGTATGAATTGAATTGTGTCTAATATTATGGGTGTGTTTAGCAACTTAACTTGTTTCAGATAGTACAATTTTGATCCACTAATTTATTTTTAGTTTGGCAAAAGTTAGGCCCAAACTGAACTAATTATTTCTAGTTCAAAATTTAGCCCCTTAACTAGTTCAGTTGTGAACCAACCCTTACATGGTTCAACTTTGGGCTAGTTAAGATAAAACTAGTCTAGCAACATTCTACTTTGAAGTTGCCAAACACATCCTATAAGTCTATAACTTAAATATTTTGTTTAAAGCATTGGTTTTTCAACTCTCAAGTCAAATCATAACATTCTGTGAGTAATAACACGAGCTATTAGAAGACCTTTAAATGAATATTTGATAAGCAGATGAATTGAATATGTAAATGCTCATACCAGATAATTACTACTCGCAGGCGGTGCAGGGTACTCAGTCCCTGCAGGCAGACGCGATGGGAGAATCTCCAACGAATCAGAAGTCCTCGAAAACCTCCCCTTCCCAACTTTCACCAGCACCCAACTCATTCAAAACTTCGCGAAAAAAGGACTCTCAGCCAAGGACATGGTGACTCTGTCAGGAGCTCACTCCATCGGCGTCTCCCACTGCTCTTCCTTCACTTCCAGGCTCTACAGCTTCAACTCCACTCACACTCAGGACCCTTCGATGAATCCCAAGTTCGCGAAATTCCTAAAAACAAAATGTCTGCCTATTTCAAAAGCTGCAAAGAGAGGACTAGATCCTTTAGTAGCATTGGATGTCAAGGGAGTTTATCATTTGGATGTGAAGTATTATGAGAACTTGATGAAGGGTAAAGGGTTGTTGAGATCGGACCAGACATTGGTCGAGGATCCTTGGACTGCGTGGATGGTCGAACGGCATGTGGAAAGCCCGGAGGTTTGGAGGGAGGAGTTTGCGGCAGCAATGGTCAAGATGGGGAGAATTGGAGTGCTTACAGGGAATCAAGGGGAGATAAGGAAGAACTGCAGGGTAGTTAATTGAAATTAGTTTGATGTTTTTGTATTGTGTTGTGATTTGGTTGTGGGTTTTCTTTGATTGCTTGAGATTGATTTCATATATGATTTTGTTATCATATATCAAAAGTGATGCTAGTTTGTGATTAATTGTGATGTATATGTTTAAGCTTTTGATCCGCACAAAGGTAAATCTGAAGTGTGTAATAGAATTGAGTATAGAAAGGAAACTCGTTCCCCGATATTTTGGATTTGCTTTCGACTATATCGTCTTCTTTGCATCCTTTGGTCATTTGATCTCTTCTATGACTTACTGTAGTCTTTGACGAAAATAACTGCCGTGTATAATAGGAGAAGAAAATGCTAAAGTTCTCATGAAACATTTGAAGCATGATGGTAATTATGTACCGAGGAAAAATTGACAAACTAGGAGCATATACACTTCTTCACAGTTCTAATTTTCAGACACAAATAAAAGACAAATATGACCAATATAATCAAGGGGTTTTCTGTTATTAGTTCCTTAGATCATCCATGTTTTGAAATTAGTCCCTCAAATCCTGAGCTAAGGGAGTATACATCTCAACCATCACCTTCCTCAATCTGGCAGTAAGAATGTTTTATAAGCACTTTTATAGGACATTGCAAGCAGCAATGGGTCTATAATCAGAGGCATGATTAGGTGCCAGAATTTTTGGGATTAAAGCAATGGCAGTGGAATTTACCTCCCTCGATAATTTTCCTTGATGCGAGAAACTTTGCACGTCTGCACATAAATCCTTTCCCATGATATGCCACGTGTGAGAAACGTGACTTTGAAAATGTCTTCATCTGCCTAATTTGGGATTGCTTTTCAAAATTAACAGCACATTTGTCAAAGCTTCACCAACCTCTTTTGTATATTTTATTATTTTCTTATGACTATATAAGGGGGATGAGGGGAGAGGGTTTAATGCATCAGTCGGAGAAAAAGAAAATAGAGAGAGAAGAGAGTGAGATAGAAAGTTTTTGTCCCTTTCTTTGTGAGAGTCTCTGGTTAGAGAGTGATCTCCTCTTTTGTATTCTTCTCTTTTGGTGATTAGTAAATTTCTCTGTTGTTCTCGTCCGTAGACGTAGGTCATACTGACTGAACCACGTTAAATTCTGGTGTGCCGTTTTCTATTTGTCCACTCTTGTATAGACATCTTCTGTGTCTGTGAAGCCCCTCCGCTGCAACAAACTGGTATCAGAGCCATGTTAGAGTACGTGTATCTGCTTATCGTATGCTCTGTGGCTGTCACTAAAAGTGGATCCTCCACATCAGAAAATAAGCTAGATTATCATTTACTCTTTAAAGGCACTGGATACTATTCACGGTACGGTACTATTCAAAAGTACTATTACTATTCATACGTGCGGTCACTATTCATACGTACGGTTACTGTTCACAAATACGGTTAATGTTCATAAATACAGTTACTGTTCCAATTGGCTTCAAGATGTCTTCTGCGAAGTACAAAGTGAAGAAATTCGATGGGAAAAACAGCTTCAGTTTGTGAAGAGTAAAAATGAGGGCTCTCCTAGTACAACAAAGACTGTTCAAGGTCTTATCCGGAAAGGATAAGTTGTCGGAATCTATGCCCGATGATGAGAAAAAAGAGCTGGAGATGAAGACGCATAGTGTCATACAGCTCTGTTTGGCCGATGAGGTCCTGCGGGAGGTTGCCGATGAAGATATCGCTGCCGGTTTGTGGCTCAAGTTGGAGAGCTTGTACATGACGAAATCTCTGACAAACAAGCTTTATTTGAAGCAACGCCTCTTCACCTTTCGCATGAAAGAAGGTATGCGAATTAAAGACCACTTAGATGAACTTAACACTATTCTTATGGATTTAAAGAATATTGATGTTAAAATTGACGAAGAAGATCAAGCACTCATCTTGTTATGTTCATTACCTCATTCCTATGAAAATTTTGTCAATAGCATGTTATATGGTAGAGATACACTTTCTTTGGAAGATGTCAAATCAGCCTTACATTCAAAAGAGTTAAGGCAGAAAGTGTCTGTCGTAGGAGGAGAGGATCAAGCTGAAGGCTTGTTCGCTCGTGGTCGTCCTGAAAAGGGTGTTGGTGGTAGAGGAAAATCTAGAAACATGTCTAGATCAAAGTCCAGGCCAAGAAGAAATGTTGAATGTTATTACTATCATAAATATGGGCATATAAAACCTAATTGTCCAGCGCTCAAAGCAAAGGATAATTCACAATCGAAGTCTGGGGAGGTGAAACCTTCAGTTGCCACTGTAACTGAAGAGTCTTCTAGTTCACATGAAGTTCTTTCAGTTAGTGTTAATACTCATTCACAAAATGAGTGGGTTCTTGATTCGGGTTGTTCCTACCATATGTGTTCGCATAGGAATTGGTTTGTCACATATCAGTCTATCGATGGTGGGAATATCTTGTTGGGAAATAACATGCCTTGCAAGACTGTTGGTATCGGATCAATTAAGATTAGAACTCATGATGGTATTGTTAGAACATTGAGCAATGTCCGTCATATTCCAGAGTTAAAGAAGAACCTCATTTTTTTTAGGCACCATTGACTCAAATGGTTTTAAGTTTTTGGCTGAAGGTGGAGTTTTGAGAGTTAGTAAAGGCTCTCTTGTTGTGATGAAAGGAAAGAAGGTAAATACCCTCTATATCCTTGAAGGTAGTACAGTGACAGGTGCTGCAGCAGTGTCATCCTCAGAGGATTCAGATTCAGACACTACACATTTATGGCATATGCGGTTAGGGCATATGAGTGAGAGAGGACTGGATATATTAAGCAAACAAGGTCTGCTTTGTGGTCAGAAAACCAGCAAATTAGACTTTTATGAGTATTGTGTTTTCGGTAAACACCATAGAGTATTCTTTAGTACCGGTGTCCATAGAACCAAGGGTACTTTAGATTATATCCATTCAGATGTTTGGGGTCCCTCTCAGGTTCCATCGAAAGGTGGAGCTCGTTTTCTGCTAACATTGATTGATGATTATTCCAGAAAAGTTTGGGTGTATCCTTTGAAGCATAAGAGTGATGTGTTTGCAACCTTTAAGCAATGGAAGGTTATGATTGAGAAGCAAACAGGAAAGAAAGTGAAGCGCCTCAGAACCGACAATGGGATGGAGTTTTGTTCTACAGAGTTTGATCAGTTCTGCAAGAATGAATATATTGTGCGTCATCGTACAGTTCGGCATACACCACAGCAAAATAGAGTTGCAGAAAGGATGAACAGAACACTTTTAGAGAGAGCTCGGTGCATGCTCTCTAATGCCGGTTTGTCAAAAGACTTTTGGATCGAGGCAGTCAATACAGCTTGCTATTTAATAAACAGATCTCCTTCTACAGCAATTAATTTCAAGACTCCAGAAGAGGTATGGTCTGGTGCCCCTGCTAATTACTCTCATTTAAGAGTATTTGGTTGCTCTGCTTATTTTCATGTTAGTGATGATAAGCTCGAACCCAGAGCAAAGAAAGCTATCTTTCTAGGATATGCTACTGGGGTGAAGGGATATAGATTGTAGTGTTCTGATCCCAAGTCACATAAGTTTATTATTAGTAGGGATGTTACTTTTGATGAAAAATCCATGCTTCACCTGAGAAAGAAGTTTGTTATTGATACTACAGGCACTGAAAATGAGTCTAGCAAGCAGGTGGAGCTAGAAAACTCAACTTCAAAGAGAGTGCTTGAGAGCGCTCATGTTGAACCAGTTGATACTGAGGAAGGTTCAACTTCAGATGCTGATACACCGTAAGAGCAACAGTATAATATTGCCACCGGGAGAACAAAATGGCAGATCTGACCGCCTCAACGCTATACAAACATGCTTGCTTATGCTTTGAGTGTAGCAGAATTGATTAAGGTTCCAGAGCCTTCTACATATAAGGAGGCTATTAGTGGCAATGATGCTGCAAATTAGACTGTTACAATGACTGAAGAGATGGAGTCTCTTCATAAGAACCAGACATGGGAGCTAGTGAAGCCACCAAGGGGACAGAAGATCGTTAGCTGTAAATAGGTCTTCAAGAAGAAAGAAGGAGCTCCGGATACAGATTCTGTAAGGTACAAGGCACGCTTGGTAGCTAAAGGCTACAGTCAGACCGAAGGTGTGGACTTCAATGAAGTATTCTCTCCAGTTGTAAAACACACCTCAATCCGCGTGTTGTTTGCCATGGTTGCTCATTTTAATTTGGAGTTTGAGCAACTTGATGTGAAGACAGCTTTTCTACATGGCGAGCTTGAGGAGCAGGTCTTTATGCATCAACCAGAGGGGTTCATTGTTAAAGGTAAAGAAGATCATGTGTGCAGGTTGAAGAAATCCCTTTATGGGTTAAAACAGTCTCCGAGGCAGTGGTATTTGAGATTTGATACTTTCATGATTGAGCATGGTTACTCTAGGAGTAAATATGATAGTTATGTTTATCATAAAAAGCTCAATGATGGTTCTTTTGTATATTTACTTTTGTATGTTGATGACATGTTGATTGCAACTAAGGATATGTCAGAAATCAACGAGTTAAAATCTCAACTCAAACATGAGTTTGAGATGAAGGACTTGGGAGCAGCAAAGAAGATTTTAGGGATAGAGATCCATAGGAACAGGCAAGAAGAAAGTTTATTCCTATCTCAGGAGAAATACATCAATAAGGTGTTGGAGAGATTTGGCATGCTTGATGCCAAGCCTGTGAAGACTCCGCTTGCCGCCCATTTTCGTCTTTCAGCAGATTTGTCACCTCAGACTGAGGAGGAGCAGTACATGTCTTGTGTTCCTTATGCGAGTGCAGTTGGAAGCATTATGTATGCGATGGTTTGCACCCGTCCAGATATTTCACATGCAGTCAGTGTTGTGAGTCGATACATGCATAAGCCTGGAAAGGTCCCTTGGCAGGCTGTGAAATGGATACTTAGATATTTGAGAGGATCTGCTAATATTGGTTTGTATTTTGCCAGGAACACAGACTCAGATTGCAGAATACTTGGCTATTCTGATTCAGATTATGCGGGCGATTTGGATAAGAGACGATCCCTGACAGGTTATATATTCACTCTTTCAGGTAGTGTCATAGTTGAAAGGTGACTCTACAGTCGACAGTTGTTTTGTCTACCACAGAGGCAGAGTATATGGTAGTGACAGAAGCAGTGAAAGAAGCTATTTGGTTGAAGATCTCGGCTTACACCAAGGTGTTACTACGGTATTTTGTGATAGCCAGAGTGCTATACATTTGACGAAGCATCAGATGTATCATGAAAGAACCAAACATATAGATGTCAGATATCATTTCATCAGATAAATTAAAGTCATCAGGATTGAGAAGATTGGTACTACAGATAATCCAGCAGATATGATGACGAAGCCCGTACCTTCGCGCAAGTTCGAACATTGTCTCGAATTGCTTGGAGTTCGACAAAGCGGAGGTTAAGCCCGTACGGGGATTCTGGCGAGACAGCAAGAGTAAAGAGAAGATCTTCATTTTCAAAGTCAAGGTGGAGATTTGTGAGAAACGTGACTTTGAAAATGTCTTCATCTGCCTAATTTGGGATTGCTTTTCAAAATTAACAGCACATTTCTCAAAGCCTCACCAACCCCTTTTGTATATTTTATTATTTTCTTATGACTATATAAGGGGGATGAGGGGAGAGGGTTTAATGCATCAGTCGGAGAAAAAGAAAATAGAGAGAGAAGAGAGTGAGATAGAAAGTTTTTGTCCCTTTCTTTGTGAGAGTCTCTGGTTAGAGAGTGGTCTCCTCTTTTGTATTCTTCTCTTGTGGTGATTAGTGAATTTCTCTGCTGTTCTCGCCCGTGGACGTAGGTCATACTGACCAAACCACGTTAAATCCTGGTGTACTGTTTTCTATTTGTCCACTCTTGTATAGACATCTTCTGTGTCTGTGAAGCCCTTCCGCTGCAACACCACGCTACTTTATAGAACGTTGAAGAAAACAAAGAGGGCCGAGATACTACTCTACACAGATCAAAACACCCATCAATTGATATCTTATTGCCATTATCAAATACCTTCTTGTCCACCTCCTGACATGATCCCTGTTTAGACAACATTTCAGCGAAGAACTTGATAACCTCCTCTTGTATATCCCTTCTTTTGGTTACCTGACCCCTTCATTATTATGAATACATTGAATGGCAATAATTTCGTTGCTCCGCGTCCTTCGCCTTATAAATTTATTATCTCAGAATGTAGCATTTTTTTATGTTTTTAAATACATAGAGCCTCAAATTCATGCAGTTCACTATTATTTAGTGAAGATTAAAGAAGTTTCCGAATACTTTCAACATCCTCTCTTGCATTGTTAACTCTACTCCTCAAACCATCATATTTCCCTTTGTGAAATATCTTGAGAGCATATTTCACCTGTTTGAGTTTCCTTGTAAAGACATGCATAGGAGATCCAACAAATTTAACCTTCCATGCGTCGTACGCAAAATTTAAAGGAACTTCTCGTCATTATTACATTTTGAAATTTTGGAACTGAGGAGGAATGGTCTGAAATATCAGGATTTAGGAAGTCAAGAAAAGATTCTTCAAACAACGCCAACCACTCGTGGTTAATCAATACTCTTTCCAGCTTAACATAATTTCTACTCCCAACTTGTGATTTGTCACTCCACTTATATTTAGGACCAATATATATGTTGCAAATCATGCACATAATCCTATCATGAAAGTCGAATATTACCATCAAACTCATGCATGTAATCCTGAATGCATTACTGCTTTAGCATCAATGACTTCACTCAAGCAAAGACTTATAACTGCCAATTTCAGTAACATCCAACAGAAAAGACATGCAGAAATTTTTTTCTCAGAAAACAGACATGCATGCTTATGGTTAAGAAAGAGCTTTGGATGACCATTAATAGAAAATGTCCTTGCTGATACTATCAGAAATTTTCTTTCTGATAGTATCGGCACTTCCCTTTTCCTTGATGTCTCCTTGCTGATGTATCCTTTTAAGATTATAATGGATCATAAGGTTGCTTCTGATGTTAACCGCTAAAACCATCAATAGAAAATGTATAATCAACCTATCAACTCCCTGAGGACATGCATAGCAATTTCTCAGAATGGTGTCAATTTATTTGAGGTTGATGAGGTCTTATATTATTTGACTCAGTTCTACATGATAACATTGTCAGATTAGGAGTTCATGATACTCCTTGATTTCTGCTGAAACAATATGACTGGTACGTCTTCCGTTTTTTCTCCCCCAACTAGTCCTCATTCTGTTCTTAAAAGCATAACCCTAGTTAATTAATTTGCAAAAGATGTCATGATCGAATTCATTGGATACTATTGCTGATTGCATCGATTATGAGGTGCAAAAGTGTCCCTCGGAGAGTAACCAAATTCAGTTACTCCTATAGTCCAACAACATTCCTGAAATTTTGTCGTAACTATAAGCTTTCTGATAACCAGAACAATACAAAATACGAAATTAGCATATGACACGGTTATATCAATGAGAACTACTGTTAGACTTAACGAACACTGATTGATACAGTGAAAAGGACATGGTTCTTGTTACTAATAGAGATAAGAATAGTGTCGTAAAGAAAGAGGATTCATGCCGACAATCTAAAGATTGTTATAAAGTTTTTAGTATAGAAGTTGTTATTGAAGGGGGAAAAAACAAATATGCAGATGTCAATTAACAGTATCCGAGGCACCATTAGACCCAGTCAATTACTCATCTTTAATCATCTATTTCATATAAAGAGGATTCACGTAGACAATCTAATGATTGTTATACTGTTTTGGGTGAAAGATGTTATGAAGAGAGGATGATAACTGTCTTACATAGAAGAATAAAAATAGCCGCTATTGATCAAAGAACAAACAGTAGCAAGTTCTTGGAATTGGATCGATCTTTTGAGATTGACAGAGTCTTCTATTTGTTGATTCCCACTCCAATTTTGACTCACTCGTAAATTATTATATCCTTAGCTACTGTTTTTTGTAGAAAGGTGTTATGAACATAAATTAATGGAACCATAACCTGAATGCATTATGAGTTTTAGTATCAAAGAATCAAATTTGCTCATGCAAAAAGTACTGTTAACTGACAATCTGAACATTGTTATAAAGTTCTGAGTGAAAGTTGTTATTAAAGGTAAAACCTATGTGCAGATGCCAATTAACAGTATCCGAGGCACTATTAGACCCAGTCAACTACTCATCATTTATAATCTATTTAGGATAAAGAGGATTCACGTAGACAGTCTAAAGATTGTTATACTGTTTTGGGCGAAAGATGCTATGAAGAGATGATGATAACTGTCTCATATAGAAGAATAAGAATACCATATGTGAATATGTAAACACATCCTTGTAGTTATTTATTGTTACTCATCAATAAACGCCATATCTCAATACTTTATCAACTATATACAGCCCAACATGATTTTTTGTCTATTCATTTCTTGGAATTAGCTTAGACTAGAGCATAAAAGAATCCTGAGTAAGAAGCACGCATAACTTACAACACCTTGAAGTTAATTTTAATTATATAATACACATGCATTGTGCTACAGCCGGCACTCCATTATGGATATTCATTCATACCAGCTCTGCACCCTTGATATCTTCATCCCTCATGAAAGCCTATTTATACCCCTCACATCCTTCAACGTAACTCATCATCGAGTAAATCATCCATCATTAGCTCTTCAAACTGAGACATGGCTTTCAATTTATCTCTAGTTCTAGCAATAATTTCCGCAACAATTTTGATTGCGAATGCTGCAGATCCAGACATTTTATCAGATTTCATAGTCCCCAATGGAGTCACCCCAGATGCCAACTTCTTCACCTTCAAAGGTCTGAAACAATCTCTGTGGGGTTCCCCCAATAATGCAACCTTTAAAGTAACGAAAGCTAGCCAAATTGAATTCCCGGCTTTAACAGGCCTAAGTGTGTCCTATGCTTCACTTCAATTTGCCCGTGATGGCATAAACCCCCCTCATACTCACCCTCGCTCTGCTGAGCTCTTGCTCGTCATCCAAGGACAGCTTGAGGTTGGTTTAGTCGACTCTAGCAACAAGCTTTTTGTTCAAGTTCTTGAGACCGGTGACATGTTTGTGTTTCCAAAGGGTTTAGTGCACTTCCAGGTGAACAAAGGCAAGTATCCTGCTGTCGCTCTATCGGCATTTGGAAGTGCTAATGCCGGTACTGTTTCTTTTCCCAAGACATTGTTTGCAAGTGGGATCGACAGTGAGGTGCTGGCTAAGTCATTCAAGACTGATGTTCAAACCATTGGGAAGATTGTTTCGGGTGTTACCTCAAATTGAGATGATTCTGAGGTCTGTGGAGTTATTTGTTTGTGTCAGTTATGTTTGTTGTGTGTTTGATTGATTGCATCGGTGTCACACAGTTTGTTTAATGTTTCTCGTTGTTTGTTCTTTGCTAATCTTGTTTGAAATTATTGGGTTGAAAAATATTAGTGCTTCATTTTACTCCTTGTTCCCTAGTTAATGATTTTTCTTTTCCCCCCTTGTTCGTACTGTCTTCTACCAAATCTCCATGGTATTCTCAGTAAATTGGCCAATGTTTACTCTTTAGGACTCTATGATTTGATATTGGATAAGTATTTTATGGATCTTGAGCGATGAGGCACCCAAGTGACTTACTAAGAGAGATTGTCACCTTAGGGGCTCACCATGTTGCTCTTTTTCTAAGCTGAAAACATCTCTTCTATCGTTTATTTTTTTAAAGTTTCTTTACCATGGCGTATGCTTACTAAGGATGCCCTTGTAAATAT